ATGGTTCATGGGGTCACGAAGAGTCGGACACGACTTAACGACTAAACAACAACAATCTGCTGTACATGGGGATGCCCTTGAAGACCACTCAAAAGCTGCAGTTGGTCCGGAATACAGCAGCATGGGTAGTTATGTAACTCCTCTGCTTTGTGATTTACACTGGTTCCCAGTAGGCTTCTGGATGCAATTCAGAGTCTTAGTTATCACCTATAAATTTTTCATGGCATACAGTGTGATTATTTGAGGGACCACTTACTCTCCTATAGTTTCTGTCCATCCCACCCAATCTAACAGAGTTCTCATGCTGTGGGTCCATTTGATTAAACAATGTCACTAAGAAGTGGGCTTTCTCTATCTTGGCACCTGCCCTCTGGAATACCATTCCCCCAGTGATTTGCATGGCTCCCATCCTGGCCCCATTTAAACAAGGACTTGAAACCTGGCTCTATCCCTAGGGCTTTGTCAGAGTAGACCCCTTGTGTGATAACTAAGAATAGGAAGATGGGACTAAAAAAAAATCCTTTTCAGGATTTAGTATAGGTAAGCACTGTGCTGTACCATATAAGCAGGTAGATGAGTATTTAATAATTAGAAATTGTTATTACACATTAGAAATTGTTTTACAATGTAATTGGGATGGGGAGGGTAGTTTTCATTATTTGAATTACAGAAGCTAATTATTAAACAAATAATTCATCAGAAGCTGTTTGTATCTTTCTCATTCTGTATCTGTGTTTCATGGTTCCTTAAATCTGAACCTGGTAGCAGATATGGCATTGATTCTGTCTGAATTAAATCTGTTGTAACAAGAGCCCTTATGACTTCAGAAAGATTTCCTTGCAGAAAATTTTTTTATTTCAATGTTAGTTTCAGCCATGGAGCATCCTAATAGTTAAATATGAAGTGGTATAATTGCTTTCTTTGGAAATCTTCTAATATCTGGATTGTATGGTAGACAGAAAGTCTCCAACGAAGTGGCAGTGTTGGAGTTATCATGATGGTTTGGCATTCTGCTCACTTCCCTGCAGTCTCATTCTACCTGGTGAGGCTAAGCAAATGGCTACTGGAGTTTCTTAATTCTGTGACACATAAAGGCTTTCTGTCCACCAAGGGGAAGTAAATGGGACCTTGTGGTCATTGTCACAAAATGTGTTGTGTTCTTAATATTGTATAAATACCATTTTAATAAATTTTAAAACAACCCTATGTAGCTGGTATGATCTTCTAATAAAAATGTGTACATGTTGATTAATTAGATAGCTTGCCCATGGCCATCTGCTTTCATTATAAAGATAAGACTGGAAAAAGAACTTCTTCCTAGTTCTCAGCTTTGCTCCTCAACACCATGAAACAATAATTCTCAGTAGCCTATTTAATGAATTGTTTCTTATTTTTCTTCTGTTCATTTTTTTATATATTTAGAATCCAGTTACAGGACTACTCTCCGCCAGCACAGAGCAAAAGGATGCTTGGGTGCGAGATAATATATACAGCATTTTGGCTGTCTGGGGCCTAGGGATGGCCTACAGGAAGAATGCAGATCGGGATGAAGATAAAGCCAAAGCGTATGAATTAGAACAGGTACGCCTTTGATTGCTATTTATTTCCTTATATGGGAAATATATATTTTAAATCTGTCACAAATTCTGTTAATTTGGGAGTAATGTTAAAACTTGAGAATTGAAAAAAAGATAAACATGGATTTTTGAATAGGAAGAACTTCCTTTTAAAGTTCTTGGTGTACCAACAGTACACTTTCTTCAGTTTGGGAAGGTAGTTGTTAAGTCAGCAGTTTCATAAAGCAGGGAGCCCTTATATCTGTGCCAAATGCAGGCATGTCTGTAATTTCAGGAACATGACCTGGGTGTTCTTGCAAAATGACTGTCGTAGCAACCATGATCAATTATAAAAAACTCACTGCCAGAGAGCGAGTAGGCACCTGAACCCTTTCTAGCCTTCCAGATCCATCTTGCTTCATCCCTTGGCAAATGGACATTCTTCCAAACACTGCATTGGGCTTCAGCCACCCTTTTTTGGGGGGAGGCTAAGATTTCCTGGAATTTTAAAAGATGGTTTATTGCAACCATCCTTTCTGCAGTCTCATTTTGCACTTTAATTTTGTTTTTGTTTTTTAAATAATATTTACTGAAGAAATTTTTAACAAAGTAAAAACTTTAAAAGAAAATAAAGATAATAAAGAAAAATAGTAAATAATGAAAAAAGAAAATAGAAAAAGAAAAAGATTATAAAGAAGCAGCTTCCAATCTTCTTGATAGCAGTTATAAATATGTTTATATTTTGCCTCTCTCGGGGAGGCTAAGATTTCCTTTGGGATTTCGGTGGGTTTTGTTGGCAGTTTTTTGGAAATAAAGGTAATGGACAAGGGAGGTACTTTGCTTTGCTACATGCTGGATTCCTAGTATTTTTTTTAATTAGAAAAATAAAAAATATAATAAGATCAGATGAAACATGAAATCTGACAGGTGCAATGGAAGGTGTCCATAGGCATGTTAGTGCCTATATATATCAAACTAATCATAAGTCTTTCTTAAATACAAGCGATGGATTTAAGGACTTCTGCAAGCGAGATGATACAGGTGTATAGCTAATTTAGGCTTGATTCAGAACAAGCTCAGATTAGTTCATGTTTAAGCTAGATCCTTTTCAGGCTTTGTTCAGCTGCTGTAATGTTCCCAGTAATGTTATGAGACCTGTACATCTTTCCTAGTGTCTCCTTTCCTACCCCTTTTCTTATCCCAGATGTTACCTTTCTGCCATGATACTGGCAATGACCAAAATTCTCTATTTATGACTGGTGTCCCATTAAAGCCCAAGAAACTCCAAATCCTTAAATTCTTCAGGAGTTTTGGCAACTGTGCTGCTGATACAAAGTTAATAATTATTAATTATTTTAACTTTCTTAACTAATAACTAATAACTATTAATTTTATTAATAATTAATCATTAAATTTTTAATTAGTTTTAATTAAAAACTAGTTTTAATTAAAAATTTTAATTAAAACTTTCCTTTTACCTTGTAATATTCAGTGAAGAAAGGAGTGGCTAAAATAGCAGGGAAATCTAAATCCCATATCAAGGCTGAGCTGATTATAAGCAGAGCCTAAACATAAACATGGGACTGTTCTTGTAATTAATTTAGCTCAGTGTTTCTCAGCCATGGCCTCTTGAAGATATGTGGATTTCAACTCTCAGAATTCCCAAGGTTGAGAAACACTGATTTAGATGATATGAACTGGGGAAGCTTATATTTGGAGCTTCCCAGTTTTAAACTGCAGCAATATCATTCCATACATTATCCTAGTAAATCAAAAATTATGTATGACTTCTCTGTAGAAGCTGCGGGGAAAAATAAGCCTAGAGTAGGAAGAAGTGTATTAAAACTTTTTAAAAATTCTATTATATTTTAATTTATAACCACATAAAGTGACAGCATATCTTTAATATTGTAATGTATCAAAATCTTATCTATTTAAGACAAGTGTTTTCTTAATACTAGAAGCAGTTCCTAAATACTGTATATAAATGCATAGATATAGACATTAAGTTTTTTACATGAACGTTGATTATTACTTATATTGTAGAGATACCTTATAAAAATTAAACCGGATAGTTAATTATTTTTCTTTTTCTTTTACTCCCATAGAATGTTGTGAAACTAATGCGGGGGCTCTTACAGTGTATGATGAGACAGGTAAAAATCAATAGGAAGGCTTTGTTGACTTAATTTTAAGTAGAGACATAAAATCTAATTAAAGTGTTGTGAGTTTTGGTGTAAAGAGTAACACTATTTAGTAGTCCTGGAGTCCCTCTGAGATTGTGACAAAAAGCTGATTTTTAACAGTGTGATTCCCCCTCCCCCATTTTTTGGGATGGGAAAGGGTTGAAATCAATGAATTAAGTTGTGTAATGTACCTGTTTACTACATTAAATGGTCCCAAGTTTCCCCCACCCCCAAAAAATCTGGCCAAAGTTGTTCAGCTCCACTCATTTCAGCGATATCAGGATGTGTCAACTACACACGTGCAATTTTTAAGCTAAAAAAATAAATATCAAAGTATACTTGCTTAGCCACACAAAGCTTGCCAGCTTTGGATTAGAAAAATTCAAGAAGCAGACTGGGATCGTGCAACGCTTGTCTGAGTGTCAACTTCTCTTCCCAACCATTAGGAGAAAGAGGGCATTTTGGACCCAGTAAGTGACTTGAAAGAGCAGCAGCATTCTTGGTCCCACCAAATGAATTTAATAACAGTATGCCTTGAAGATATTAATATAAAACTATTTTAAGTGCGTACTCTGTTGCACAGTATGTCTTTCTGACAGCAACATGTGAGAGATACGGTGCTAATCCTTCTGCTAGAAGTAAGAACGCACCAGGACTATGAAAGAGTGAAGTTGATATTTTAATTTGAGACATAACATGACCTTGTCTTGAAATAATGTAACACAAAACGGAACAAGTGATTTCCTACACACACAAAAAACGTTCTTGAAGAAAAGCAATACTGCACTTGAGATTAGATGATTCTGAATTTTATTCCTTTTGTTGTAAACAGGAAATGAAGCCCTGCTTTTTTTCAGATTGAAGTGAGTTGCTTAGACAGATAGCTAAACTTAAGTAAAACACCAGTTAGTTTACATAGGTAAGAATATGGTCATGGATTGGGTTAGCAATTGTTTCAACTCAGGTTTGTTTGCATGACATTTTAGGCATAGTGCATTGCCCACATTTAGAGAAATTTATATTCCTGTTTGGCTGCTGAGAATTAAGAATACTACCTAACTCTGCCAGCTCCAAATATTGACTATTATACTGGATTTTTTGCTACTTATCCCAGTGTGGTGTAAAAAATGTCTGATTATACAGTGACTGTTTTCCCAGTTAAGCTTTCATCTATTTTTAAAATAAATACAAAGCATTGTTGTTGCAATAATATGCTGCCACAATAGACTTAACGATTCCATTAAAGCATCCTCAATTAAAATTGGTTTTCGATAAACAACTATTTTGTATGAGAATGAGAGAAAGCCAGTTTGGTGTAGTGGTTAAGGCATTAGACTAGAAACTGGGAAAATGTGAGTTCTAGTCCTGCCTTAGGCACAAAGCCAGATGGATGACTTTGAGCAAGTCACTCTCTCTCAGCCCTAGGAAGGAGGCAATGGCAAGCCACTTCTGAAATCTTGCCAAGAAAACTGCAAGAACTAGTCCAGGCAGTTGTAAGAAGTCAAAACTGACTTGAAGGCACACACACACACACAAAATTGTATGAAGGTTTTGTTGATTAAAGCTTAAACTGTGCCAAAATTCGGGTCCTGAGACAAAATCATGATAATGAAAGTTTATGCTTCAAAAACTGATTTTGAAATGTTGCATGCTTTCCTTAGGTAGATAAGGTTGAAAAGTTCAAGCACACACAGAGTACCAAGGATTGCCTGCATGCCAAATACAACACGGCCACTTGTGGAACAGTAGTTGCAGATGACAAATGGGGACATCTACAAGTAGATGCAACTTCCCTTTACCTTCTCTTCCTGGCTCAGATGACAGCATCAGGTAAGCTATGTCAGAATAATAGTGACTTTTGGAAGCTTTTAAGGAGAGTTCAGTATTGTCACAGTCAGTAAGCTGTAAAAAATAAGTAACTTTAATATTGGACTTATCATTAATTGTTTTGCCATATTCAATAAGCAGGAGTGGACGGTTTGGTATTCATGCTTCTAGCAGCTGTCTAAAATTCTTAACCTTCTCAAGGATGAAGATGACGTGTTATCATTTTCTGAAATATTTTAACTGGGTTTAAGTATGAATTGTAAACAGATGAGTTTTTCTTGGTTTTGCAAAGGATTATATTTTAAGGAAAGCACTTATGCCCATGCTTCCTTTTAAATTTCTTTATGTGAGAAATTTCCTATAAGAATGATGAACTACTAAATAGAGTAAAAACATGAATAGTTCATTTTATTGCATGTGATTTATGCTAAATGTCTTAATAGTGGTTCTTTCTTAATCAGGATTGCGTATTATATTCACACTTGATGAAGTGACCTTTATACAGAATCTTGTATTTTACATCGAAGCTGCCTATAAAGTTGCTGTAAGTATTGTCAAGGGTATTCCAAATCCAGAGGATGTATAATTTAAAATCTCCCTGTCAGAAACTTTCATCCAAGGGTTCTGCAGAAAGATAATAGTGATAGTCACCTTCTGATCCCACCTAGTCTCTCCAGTTGGGGAGTTCTTAGCCATTTTGCTCAACACATCTCTCTTCAGCCCAGCCCTAGGAAAATAGAAAGGAACATGCTTTGGGTCCTCCTGCCCAAATCCCAGAAATACAGAATGTCACAAACCTTGTGTCAATTCTGGAATACAAGGGGTAGCTGTGTAATTATGCAGTCTTGCATGTGGGAAAGGTTTTAATGTTAATTTCCTTCTCAAACCAATGAAGCCAAATCTACAGATACAAAAAGGAGTTAATAGGAAAAGGAAAATAAAGAGAAAACAATAAAAGGCAACAATCAAACACAAAGAATTCCAAATAAAATCAGTGTAGTCAGCCTAGCTGAACCAATCCTTATAACTTTCTTAAATAAGCTCTTGACTTTCCACATGTTCATTGCGGAGAGGCTGGTTGAAAAGAGATAATCTGAGCCAGGTGTTCATAGCCAGGCCCTTTGTCTTGCTTTTACTTCCTTCTATGTTTGTTTTTTCTTTTCCTTTTTCCTTTTTCTTCTTTTCTCAAAGCACTTATCCTAAGGTTTATGGAATGTGGGAAGCCAATATCTTTGAGGAGACTGTTTCTTTGCACAATACTTCATCTGTGATGTTGGGTATTTAATCTGCAAATAAGAAATTATCTAGGATCTAAATCCACCTTCCTATCAACCCTTGAGGAAATTATAAAGACTAATTTTCACTAGTTGTACCATTGTGTAAATAGGATGGGATGGGAAAACTCCTTTGGAAAACAAAAGTTGAATTCCATCTACCCAGATCCCTCAAGACAGGATAAAATATCAGATACTTTAAGAGACATTGTTGTACCATAATAAAAACAAGGGCTTGTCACAAAAGGAATTTAATTTATATATTTATCATAGATCAACTTTATTCCTGCTTTGAATCTACAATGAAATAATAGAAAACATTATTTGATATTTCTCCTTCTCTAGATATTAGTTTATTTTTGTTCATATAACTCAACAAAAGTTAAAGAGACAATCCTTACATTTTTCTTCTTCCTTGAATAGAAGGATTTGAAAAGTTGAGAGCTACTTGTCCTCATGATCCTTAAGACAAATAAAAAGGATATAATTAGTATGGAAATTTGTCAGAAGACATGAAATCATATACAAAAAATAACAAATAATGCACTGATTAAGAAAAACATTAATACATTATAAAGCCTGGGACAGTATAAATGTTTCTGGGCTCCATTCTATTACACATGATTGTGCTTTCACTCAGGCTGTCCTGCAGCTCTGCTTGCCCACTTCATCTGCTTGAGAGGATGCGCTATTTCTTGCATACATTTAGGAGATACGTCGGAGAGGAGAAAAAATCCATTCTACCAGCAGATGTCATGCTACTAGTGGTATTATTCCACTGATACCACCCTTTATCTGTGCTAAAAGACAATAACGCAGGTGCCAAGCTGGCCTTAGAATGGATTGAAAAAAGCATAACATTTAATATTCACATTAATGAAAATGTTGCAATGGAGATATTTGTACAAAAGGTATCATATGAAATTAGAATCCTTTTGTTGGCAACTTCAGATTAAGAGAAGAATGTTCATAGGCCTGTATCATATGAACAAATATCATCTTAC